AACCAAACACGATAATAACTTTTAACCACAGCTATAATACAATATAATTCAGTATAGTTTCAGTTACAATACTTCACAATAATCCTAAACACATCCATAGTCCAGTTGCTATATGGATGGCAATCGATTTATTGAATTGGGTTTGGGAAAGATTGGAAAAGGAATTGAGCTATAGACAATTTAGGTTGGGCTGGGTTGGTCAATTGGATTGGGTAAATAAAAATTAATTGGTAATATATTTACCAAAATATGTATAAAAATAAATTTATATTTTTTTACCATATATGGTTGGCCACAAGGCAGAGAAGATTCCTTGGGTGAGAAAAATACCTTCATCCTTGCTTGCAGAAAGGAAAATTTTCTAAATCTTCATTCCTACGGTGGGGATTCTTATAAAACTCTACAAATTTAAGATAAAATTGCCATCCCTATGGATATTGGGAGATTTAGTAAAAAAAAAAAAAAGGGGGAATCTTCTTTGTCAAAAACAGAAAACAGTAGTTAACAAGGGAAAGAAGGCAGAACTCCTCATTCTGCCCTAGGGCTTCAAGCAAAATTGGAGTTGCACCCCGCTTAAGGTGCAAGGGAAACACGTAGAAGCATTATCTTTCTCTTCCCTCTTATCCTCTCCTAAGCCTGGGGAGGTGAAGCTTTCTTGCAATTTTTGGAAAACCATTTGGATTGCATGTAAGCAGTTTTTCTCCATGGAGGAATGTGGAGATCCTTTTCCTTGAGTGATTCGATAGCGGCTGAGCAGAGCAAAGGGATTGTTTTTCCAAGCTTCTCTTCAGACCCAACAAATATTTGAGGAAGAAAATTGATTAGTTCAGTGTATGTTGCTGTAGGCCTTGGCAATTCAAACTGAGACTTGAAATCCAAATCTACTATAACTCTCTTTTTTCTTCCATCCTTCTCAACCATCATAACGTCAACATACTCATAAACACCTGTAAGTTGAAACACTTCAAAAGTAATGGAAAGCATGCCCTGAGGAGAAACTTCATAAAAGAAATTTGATTTCAGCATACCTTTAGAGTGCTTAGACGTAGAAGCCCAAGAAGTTATGCAAAGAGAGGCTTCATATCCATCTCCTCTCAGTTTCAGTACCACCAATTTCTTGAGATTTCTTTCTTGATCCATTGAAGTTCCCAATTCGTTCACATACATTAATACCTTCTCACGAATTTCGGCTTCCCCATCTGTGTACTTCCCAAGAATCTCCTAAATAATCGTACAAAAGTTTCCAGAAATCATAAACAAAGAAAAAACAAGCACTGAACTCTGAATCAATAAAAGCTAAATTACATGTAAACTGAGATATTTGTGTTGATGATTGAGGGTAGATGGTGCTGAAGATGCCATTGAAGTGGATGCGGGTACTTCTGATTCAATGTAGTCTCTAACCATTTGACCCAGGTCTTGTTCTGCCAAGCTGCCCATTCTTCTTCTTTAGGAGGAAGAGATGTGAAGTGTTTACCAAGTCTAAGAATCATCAGGTTTCTTCCCGGATAATCCTGGGGTTTGGTTATATAGTGATGTTGTGAATGTGATGTCATCAATTAAAGCTGGGAAGAAAAAGAATGTTAACTTGACAATGTTGTTACTTGTCATCATATGAACAATATACTTTCTTTTCTCTGAGATGCTGGCATTGTGAGACTATTGGCATTTTTTCATTACATACTACTATGGATCAATGCCATTATGTCTTCATCATAACTTCTTGGACTTTTTTTTTTTTTTTTAGAAAATAATTTAGAGATAACTTTTCAATATAATTATTTATACCTAAAAATAAACTAATGAGATGAGATCATATGTCAAGATGAGGCCCAGCTATTAAGGAGAGTCAACAGGCTGGATGTGTTGGGCCAGCTTAAAGTTTTACAACCTAGATGAAATTTATGGTGAGCTGGACTTATGTGGTAGAAGATAAGGTAGTTTTTAGTAGTTTAATTTAGTTTAAATTAGGAAGTTGAGGATTTTTAGGAGAATGTTACTATTAAGATTTATTAGAATTAAAGTTGGATTGAAATTGCCTTAGACGTGGAGCACCCACTATCCGTTTATTGTGGGAGAGGGCCAAAAATCATGGAGGAAGGTTCCCAACATCAACGAAAAGGAAAACAAGAGGAAAAGATTAGTTCTACACGGCTTGACTTACAGAAAACTGCCCAACGCATATGTTTTTTTAACTTTCAGATTGTTTCTTTCATATTTTAGCATAATTTCCATATTAGAGTACAAGATCTATTTTTGTTCATAGTTTTAGTTTAGGTTTTTCCCGTCCTTGTTTGTATTTTCCCTCAAACATTATAGCTTTAGTTAGTTTTTAAGGATTTGGAAGCAGATTAGCCTCGAAAACAGGTATGCTTCATTGATTTGGTTAGTTTTTCATTCGCTTATGGATTCATTTTTATCATTTGTTAATATAAATATGTTGAATGCTTTCTGCCTTCTTTTCTTTGTTTCTGTGCAATTGTTAGACTTGTACCTTGTTTAATTCAATTTCTAGATTGAGATTTAATTTTACGAGTTTCCAGACTTTGATCATTTTGTAGATTCTCTTTTAGTTTTAACAATCAAGTAGTTCAATTATTTTTGTTTTAAATCTATGAGTGATTAGTTTAATCATTATGGATTATGATGTTAAAATCAGTATCTGTAATCATACACAATCTATTGTTTGCAAATTTATTTTTGTGACTTGTTATTTTTTTTATTTATTTTGTGTTAAGTTAATTGCCTTAGAATATTGCGTTTAATTTAGAATTTATAGGTTTTGTTATAGTTTAGTGGTTGTAAAGTCCTTAGAGATGTCCAAGGTAATTAGTGACCCATTTTGCAGAACTCCATCCTCTCTTTTGGAACATCATCTGTTCTAGTCATCCTTTTGGAGGTCGACCCTTGGAAAGGAGAAAAGGAGAAAGGTCATATAGAAAATCCTATTTTCTTGTTTTAAAACAAAACAAATGGTACACCTTATTCCTAAACTCACGTGATTAAAGCTAGTTAAGAATTTTTGGGGAAACAATAACCT